GCAACTCACTCAGGCGGGTTCGGCTCCCACGAAAGGTGATCCGGTCTCTGGCATGGTGGAGGTCCAAGGCAGTCAGGAAGGGCTGCCTGTTCAAGGAGCCGGAGAGACTAGTTGTCACCACGGATGCCAGCCTCCTGGGGTGGGGCGCCCACTGTCAGGGCCACCTAGCCCAAGGCCGATGGACTCAGAGGGAGGCCGCCCACAGCATCAATTGGCTGGAACTGAGGGCAGCTCGCCTAGCGCTGAGAAAGTTCGCATCTCTAGTAAGAGGGGCTCATGTACTGTTGATGACAGACAATGTGGCGACAAAAGCGCACATAAACCGGCAAGGGGGCACTCGGTCAAAGGCCCTCATGCTCGAGGCGGAAGCGCTGGGCAGGTGGGCGGAACGTCATCTGGCTTCTCTCAGTGCAGATCACATCTCCGGCGTAAGCAACCGGGAAGCAGACTGGCTGAGTCGCCAACGCATCGACCACTCGGAGTGGCGCCTGCACCCGGACCTGTTCCAGCAGATCGTGAGGAGATTCGGCAAGCCACAGGTAGACCTGTTTGCCACACACAACAACACACATCTCCCACGCTTCTTCAGTCGCTACCACTCGCCCCAGGTAGTGGGAACAAACGCACTGAGGTCAGTGTGGCCTCAGGGACTACTGTATGCCTTCCCTCCACTTCCACTCATTCCTCTGGTGGTGAACAAGCTCCTGGCCAAAAAGGCAGACCTCATCCTGGTGGCTGCCTTCTGGCCCAGAAGGCCCTGGTACGCAGACTTGGTCAGTCTCTCAGTTCAGAGACCGTGGCGAATCCCTCAGGACCAAATCTCCCTCAGCCAGGGGGCCATCAGCCATCCGGAGCTCCAGTGGCTACAGCTAGCCATTTGACACTTGAGGGGGAACTCCTGAGGAAGCAGAAGTTCTCTGACCAGGTCATTCGAACGATACAAGCGTCCAGGAGGCCTTCTACCACTAGAATCTACGATGCCACCTGGGCTGCATTCTCACAGTGGTGCAAGGCTAGAGACATAAAGGCCTCATCAGCCTCGATTCCTCAGACCCTAGACTTCTTGCAGGAGGGTCTAGATAAAGGACTTGCTGTTAGCACCCTTAGACGTCAGGTTGCAGTGATGTCCACTATCCTGGCCAGGGGTTCCTCTCGCTCTCTGAGTCAACATCCTCAGATTAAGAGCTTTCTTAAGGGAGCTGCAAACATCAGCTCTCCAACTGTTTACCGGTATCCGTCATGGGACCTTCCATTCGTGCTTAGGGCGCTGACGAAAGCTCCATTTGAACCTTTGCGCAGGACCAGTCTATGCCACCTAACCATCAAAACTGCCTTCCTGGTGGCTATTATGTCAGCACGCAGGGTTTCTGAGCTAGCAGCTCTTTCTGTCAGGGAGGACCTGTGCGTGATTCACCCGGACAGAGTAATTCTGAGGCTTGATCCGTCCTTTACTCCAAAAATTAACTCTCTGTTCCATAGGACTCAAGAGATTATTTTGCCCAACTTCTGTCCCCATCCTTCTCACCCTAAGGAGCGTGAGTGGCATAAGTTGGACGTGAGACGAGCCATGCGCACTTATGTTAAGAGAACAAAAGAATTCCACCATTCAGAGGTGTTCTTTGTCTCCTTCCTCCCTGAGTCCCTTGGCCACAAGGTCTCTTCACACACAGTGGGTCATTGGCTACGTGCTTGCATAAAGCTAGCATATGAACACCAAGGCAAGACGGCTCCGTGCCGGGTCACCGCACACTCTACTAGGAGGGCAGCAGCTTCTGCAGCCTGGGCGACCCAGGCATCTATTCTTGACATTTGCAGAGCGGCCACGTTGGCCTCCCCCACAGCCTTCATTAAAAACTATAAAATTGACACCTTTGCCTCAGCCGAAGCCTCTTTTGGCAGAAGAGTATTACAAAGAGTGGCTGAAATGCCAGAGGCTCTGGTGCTTCCCCACCCTGGGACTCAATAGCTTGGGCATGTCCCACTATTGGACTCTCCGAGCAGTGCACTGGAGAAAGACCATTGGCTTATCTGAACGGTCGTTCTTGGGCACTGCGAGGAGAGTCCAAACCCGCCCGGGTGTTTATTTCTCTTACACGATGTGACTGTATTGACTGTAACTGATTACAGGACTGTCTCCTTCGTTTTCAAACTGAGCATGCAGAGGCAAAGGGAGGCGTGGTCAACAGAAAAACATCACTCAGTCCATGGGCAGATAGGCTGTGTTAACCCACTATTGGACTCTCTTCGCAGTGCCCCGAGAACGCCCATTCAGGTAAGCCAACGGTCTTTCTCCAGTGCACTGCTCGGAGAGTCCAATGCTGGGACATGCCCAAGCTATTGAGTCCCAGGGTGGGGAAGCACCAGAGCCTCTGGCATTTCAGCCACTCTTTGAAATACTCTTCTGCCAAAAGAGGCTTCGGCTGAGGCAAAGGTGTCAGTCTTATAGTTTTTGATAA